CCAGAGTGTGTGTCCAGCGGTTGTTCGGGTTGGCCATGAGGCCGCGCCCCCCTCCCCTCCCCGGAGGTCGCGACCCCCGATTTGTGAACCACTGTCCTAGAGGATCTTCCTCCCTATAGTGTAGCCGAACATTCTGCGCTGGATTTTTGTAAAGCTCAGGTTAACCACTCTCCCACACTCCAGGGGGGGTCACAGCTTCTTCAGCGGTGGTATTTAGCGCGCGGCGGCGACGGCGGCACATCGAAAAGTTCCTCTTTTTATTGAATCTCACTCATTTAACGGGTTAGACGCCTCGCTCTGTGCCTCTTCCTGCCACCGAGCTCTCGCTCTGCTGCCTTTTCTCTGTCTCCCTGTGTCGCTCAGCTCAGCTATCCGTCCCCGTCCTTCCTGTCTGCCGGTGCGCAGCTTGCAGAGGTGGCTGACGGGAGTTCATTGGAATCGGCGTGCGCGGCGGGGCCAGTGCGAGCGTAGTCGTACGCGCGCGCGCGTGTGTGTGTGTGTGTGTGTGGAAGCAGCGATGTCACTGGACTGTGTAATTGAAATGGAAATGAGCCAATCAGCGACCGTGGTGTTGTGCCACCTCACCCTGCATTCACTTCAGTGTTCTCCGGCTCTCCCGATCTCACTCTCTCTGTTTGTGCGCAGGTGCCTCTGTGTATCCGTGTGAGTGTGCGTGTTTGTGCTGACAACACTTGGCCCTTCAGCTTCAGCCCCGCAGGCCTGAGTGGGCGGTGTGAAAATGTAATCAGTTGGTAATAAAGATGATCTCCCCCCGTCTCTCTCTCTCAATCACGTATTCACTGGCTCACACTTACACACATTTGTGTGCAGCCACCCTCTGTGTCCAGTTGATTTCCCAGGCTTTGTGCTGTGACCCACAGCGCGATGGGACAGCTGTGGCATAACAAAGACACGTAATTATCACCATTCGACAATTAGCCCACCATCCAACTTTGCTCCTTAGTCATCTGTTACACTGCGAGGAGGTCTCCGCTGCCACTCTCAGCTGCTTCTCTTTACTCACAAGAATGGGCCGAGATTGTAAGCTCATGATGTTGCCATTAGCGTGTGGTAAAATGGGGAGCGATTGTGCTGGTTAGGGTGGAGTGTGTGCATGCGTGTGGCATTGGTGGCGGAGCGAGGGCAACTCGGCGCCAACTCCATCCGGACTATTTCTCTGGCGGTTTTGAAGTAAATAAGCACGTAATGCCGTCTCTGAATGGATGGTGCCACAGGATGGATTTGACTTTTTAGTGTTTACTGGTAACATGTAGTAATTAAAACATGCATTATGGTGGTGCATAATTAAATGAATATGCATTGCATCTACTAGTGGGTCAAAAACTTGTAATTTGTTATTAAAGGTTTACAATTTGTAATAACTAACTGTGTATAACATAACATAAAAAAACGTGCATTTATGTATTTAGAGAGTAACATGAACACAATGGGCTTAATACATAACAAATACGTAGAAATGACACCGCATGCAGTGTTACATTGTAATGTATCCTTGGTAGGGATGACATGCACATGAAATCTATCTATCATTTCAATCACATAGAAATTGTATTTATGAATGTTATGTTTATCAGACAATACTGAAAAAATATATTATTAATCGGAAAGCACACAAAAACTCACACAAGCGTCAATATGGACGCTGCCTCGAATGACATCGTCTTTTGTGTCCACCGGTTCAGCTGATCCTGCGGTATCTTCATTCTATATCTTTATTACTCTCTTCTGTTGACCCCAGTGTTACTGTACTCTCTGTCCTCCCTCTGGTCTTCTCACAGAGCACAGCCTTGATTGACATTCCATGGGTGCAGCCTCGCGGGGCTCCTGCGTCCTGCGCAGAGGCCGATGTATGTTTGAACAGCACTCGGACATTTCGCTTTCCTCTTTCGGCTCGTATCATCAGCAGCCGGCTGCCGTGGCCGTAAAAAGGACACTGGCAGCACGTAAAAGAGGAGGACAAACACAGCTCTGTAGAAGGCTTATTTTATCTGGGAGACATCTTGGTTGGAGGCCTTGGCTGCAGACTCCCATGTGACGCCTGCAGCAGAATCACCTTCAGTGATAAACGCATTGTTGAATAACCCACGGATTCGGATTCAGTGGCAATCTGGCAATGCTATCTGCATTATTCAGTCGTGCTGCCTCTGTTTTGTGTATTCCCTCACCTTCTTTTTGGAACCGGGTCCCTTTCTCTCCCCCATTCTGTCTGTTTTCTCCCCCTCGCTCTCGCTTTCTCACTCGCAGCCATTAGCAGCTTCTGGCTGTCTCTCTGCTGTCCCTTTGCCAATGTGCCGGGGAGCTCGCTGAGCTGATAACACACATCTAATGTATGCACGGAGGTGTGTGCAGGGTGCGGGTCTGTTGCATTTACACAACGTGTGTGTGTGTGTGAGAGTGTGTAGCGTGTTACAAATGCCTGTCCTGTCCCCCTTTATGTGCTCACTCACCCAAACATCCTCTGCTTCATTTGCAGTCAGGGCCTCAAAGCTACTACTCTGACTGCTGAGACGGGGAGAGAAGGGCAGCTGAAACGTCACACACAAACACACTCTCTCTCACACATAAACACAGGCGCCGGTGGCGAGCGGACGGGAGGATGTGACCATTGAGTCAGTGACATTTTAAAGCAGTGAGAGAGATGCATGGCTCCTGATGGACCTTTCGCCGACATGTTTGAAATGAGATGTTACAGATGAGCTGCTCCATGCCTCGCTTGTAAACACCCCCACGTTAGTATTTACCCTACTAAGCGGGTAAACACAGCAAGGCAGCATTTCCTGTTAACTCAGGCTACACACACACACACAGGCCTGAATAAATGAACAGAGCAGAAACCAGCAGGCACGCATGATCACATTAATGAGGAATGTTTTTGCGGCGCGATTTGTCGACGCTGTTATTTGTTTCATAAATCATTCAAAACATCAACATTAATTAAGTGGCGAGTGACAGTGCAGAGAGCAGATTCCGCTCAAATTGCTATTTGATCTCTTTGATCTGTGTTCGGGATCTTTCGTAATTCCTCTAGACGCGCTGCAGATTGGCGTAAACGCAGCCACGGAGAGCAAACTTTTATGCAGCTCATTTTGATCTTAGAAAACCGCTTCTTTAGATTCCGAACTCAAACATCACAGTGAGATAATGAGCAGATCCGTACCTTCGAATAGAGAGAGCAGATAAGTGGGTGGAAAGACAGCGACACAGACAGAAATACCGTATAATCACATTTTTGTGCCGTTGTGCTGCATCACATTTCATTAACATTCGAAGATTCAACTGGTATTTTGACTCAACTGCCAGAAATCCTCTTTTTGTTCCTCTATTGTTGAATTGTTCCGCACAAAATCTTTACGACATAATGGACACTTTGTTCACGAGCAGCAGAAGAGTCCCGTCCATCCAACTTTTATGTTTATATCCCAATATCGGCAAACTAGAATTTGGCTTTAGGGGCTTTACAATCCGGCACACAACAGCCTCTGTAATTTGATTCTCAGTTCTGAAAAATAAAAGTGGTATCAACCTCAGGAAAGGATGAGTCCTGCCGTAGATTGTGAGTGTTCAGAACAGATCGTTACATTGAAATACAGAATGAAGGAAAATTTATGATTATCATTTATGAAGTGAAGTTCAGTCAACTTCCTAAAACCCACCCGAACCGAACCGCTCGTCCCGCTCTCCACGCGGTGAGACGTGGAAGAGGGACAGACTCCACACACACACACACACACACACACACACACACACACACACACACACACACCAGACTGCGCGGCGAGAGAAAGAGGTGGCAAAGCCGCGCTTGTGTTGCTTCAGCATTTTAATCCCGAGCCTCCAGAGTCGTCGGCATCAAATTGTTTTAGCCTCTTGTTGCGTTCCCCGAGCTCACGGAGCCCTTCGTAAAGACACCGGAGGAAGTTTTCAATTAAAAGTTTTCTCTTAACTCTCGTCAGGTTGTGCTCTTACAGCACCAAAGCCTCGGTCTCAATTATAAACCAACATCCCCAGGTGAGATGAGTCATTGACACCAGCTGCGTGTGTGTGTGTGTGTGTGTGTGCGCCGACATGTGTGCAATGTGTGGTTTGGGACCATCCATCACTCTTGTGTGTGTACGTGCGCTAAATTGAGGTCGGTCAATATTTTCTCGGGCAAGGCCGATGTGTGACCCCGAGGTCAGGGTCACAGCGTCCACCATCCAGACAGGAACTCGCCATACAATGCTGCTGGTAGCTGTGGAAATTCCACAGGTGAGAGAGTCCTATTTCGTGGGCAGCAGTGAGGATAGTGCATGTGTGTGTGTGTGTGTGTGTGTGTGTAGTGGCAGTGTGGGGCCTTTTGATGAATCTGCCTGTATGTATTGAAGCCCTCTGACCCCGTGTGGCCTGTTCTAGATCATTGCAGTAGTAAAGATGCCTCCCAGTCGCCCTCAGAGACACGCTGGCTCTGCATTTTTCCTATGATGACATTTACTGTGCGGCCCATCATGGATCCCCGGGATCATTTGGTTCATCTTTCTGTCTTTTTTTATTTTGGGGGGGGGGGGGGGGTTGTCTTTCTTATTAGACCAAATAACCAGAAAATATTTTCCGAGACAGCGATACTTGAGTTTGCTATCGTTGGGAAGACAGATGTGTGGTTGTGTGAGTAAATATCTGTTGCCATAATAGATTTATAGATAAACCAACCCTCCCACATTCGTTGAAGCCAAGAGCTCTGGTTCTTTCACACACAGTATTGAAAGCGTGCCGGGAGATCAAACCCATATGTGCCGAGTTCAAACAGCCTTTTCATCCAAAGATAATTGAAGCAACGTTGACGCGTCAACAAACAGTTGCATGAAGATGATACGATTCGGAGCTAAACATATAAAAAGTCAACTTTGGTTCAGTGTAAAATGCTGCGTTAGGATTTGTCTCTGATTCTGGTGTCCAGACTAATAATAAAATGAACACTTCTTCTTCTTCTTTTTTCCAACCAGGTTCCACCGTGGAGACTACCACATCGACGTGTGCATCAACGACTACCTGGATGTCTACTGTCCTCACTACGAGGAGACGGTCCCCGAGGAGCGCACCGAGCGCTACGTCCTCTACATGGTGAACTACGACGGCTACAGCACCTGCGACCACACCGCCAAGGGCTTCAAGCGCTGGGAGTGCAACAGGCCGCACTCCCCGAACGGGCCGCTCAAGTTCTCCGAGAAGTTCCAGCTCTTCACCCCGTTCTCCTTGGGCTTCGAGTTCAGACCCGGCAGAGAATACTACTACATATGTGAGTCGACCGAAACGCCTCACGGTCAAACAAATAACACGACTGGTGGAGAACTTATATGTCGATGGAGTTCACAGGTGGGAGTTGCATTGAGACGGTTTAAAGAAGAAGGGCACCTCCTCGCCGTATTATGTCCTGCTCTCATTCAGCTTGCATTGGATGTCGAGTCGTCCGCTTCTTGGCGTAGAAACTGAGCCAAACCGAGTTCATCTGTAGCCGAAGCCCCTGGGAAATTAGGTTTTTATCAAAGCAAGGTGATGGATTGGAATTGAGTGGAGTTTGTCCTCCCACCACAGACTATACGGGGGAGTCACTGTCAGTCGGAGCAGTTGTCGCTACTCGCTCAAAACACATCACAGGGATACAGCTGATATTACAAAACAGCAAGCAGCACGGTTATGCGCTCATATCGGTGGCATTAGTGCAATATCATGCAGTGTAATGCATTATTGCTTCAGCTGCTGAGGGAAAGTTTAAACTTTATGGGCCTATGTATGAGGGGAAGATGTATAAATTCCTTCTCAGCCAGGGCTTGTCAGTTTTGACATTTAACTCAGTCCCGTTTGATGCTTCCAGTTTTATCTGTTTATCAATAAAGTTTGGACTTTGGGTGTTAATGCAGCTCCAGGTGGCTTTTAAACCTCCGTCCGTTGAAAGTCTGGGCTCTGTTTTCTAAGTTGACACCTTTTTATGAAGCAGTTAACCTGCCAGCCGGCCAAGACGTGTGTCTTTTATTCATTTCACGTCTCTGTCTCTTTCGGTCTCTCCCTCCCTTACGTAGCAACACTTGGGACTGAATATTGGGCTGTAACACAAGAAGCCGGAGAGAAACGAAACAATAGAGTTCCTCTGTAATGTTGGACATTCTTTCGGCTGTGAGGCTTGTCTACAAAACAAATAGCCTGAGTTCTTTTCCAGAGGCCTTTCAACAACCAGGTGTTTGATCATTTGTCTGTTAAAAAGTAACCAGATTTTCCTTTGCTTTTATAGCCGATTTGCATTGACAGTCGTACAAAATGAGACGTGGGGAAAAATGGAAGTCTCCGGCCTCGGGGGTGTAGATAGGGGTTAGCGAAGGGTTACGCAATCCATCCTCTCCTGCGAGTCTCTATTTCTAACACATACATATATGTATATATATATATTTCCATTTCTGTTGAGAGATGCTCGTCCTAAGGGCTGCATTAAATTACACTGCAACCGACAGGGCTCCTGTGGAACGCATCCATTCTGCTGGTGCACGCCATATTGGTTTAGTGGCCCGCGGCGTCATTGGCTATTGAATGATTCTAGCGTATATGCTCTCTGGCTATTGCGGCGGATATTAAAGTCATCCACCATGAAGAAGTCTGACATGTGATTCCCCACCGCCATTGTGTCCAAACCTGAATGTTCATGGGTATGAGAGAAGGTGGCTGCTGATGGATCTGACAGTGTCTCTATAGTGGACAGCATGTAGACCCAACGGATGAAGATCAAGAGAGGAAAGAGGGGTAGTTACATTACTACACCTGCTTTTTTTTTATCCGTACCATCTCTCTCTCTCTCTCTCTCTCTCTCTCTGTCCAGAGAGGGGAGGGTCTTTGTCGCGCCTTAGCTATAAAAACATCCGAGAACTTTCGGCTTGCTTTGGGTTACATCATTTCTGTTCTCTTTTAACCGTTTCAGTGATACATTTTCACAAAAAAAGGGCTAATTAAAATAAAGACATGGTGCGTGGAGTAAAACGCAATACCATAATACACCAGTAGCAGGTGATTATGTGTTCACAAAATATTTCACAACATATTTGACATAATCCAGAAGAAATGGAGCAATATGACCATAGAACTTATTACAATATTTGCTTAAAGTGGCCCTGGTTTGGTCTGTTTGATATGTGTGTCCAGGACCAATATGCCGTACAGGTCTGCATGCATAATATTGCTGTAGCAATGGTAAGACTGAATATGTGACTGTGATTTGGGGTATTTCATTGACTTTGTCAACAAGTTTACTTAATTCTACAAGTACCACAACCTGGATCTACAACAGGGATTATATTCAGACGGCGTTCGGTTCTTACATGGTTGTGACCTCTGGTCGCTGTGACCAGTCAGATAATAGTGGTATTTTATTTAATTGAATTGTCTTTACGGCAAACAAAGTGAAAAGTGTCCGTTGGGCTTTATGGCCGTGCCTAATGCCTGTTCTGATGGACAACCTGATTTCACCAATTGTTTCCGCCCCATAAGTTTCATTATATTAATATATTATTAATCTTATCATCTTATACCGTGCGTAGAGATTCGTGAGTACACCAAAGGCCAAATGTCTAAATTATGAATCTCAAGCAATTGCTGGTGACTGATGACTTTCATTCATAAAAAATGCGGTATCTTTTTTATTTTACGTTGACGTAATAAGTCCAATTAAAACCATTTAGGATGTAATTTGCACAGCAGCAGTGCCTTCAGCTAGCTTCACCACAGCAAAGCTGCTTCTCTTTGCTAAGGTATGATGCGTTTTGCACACAGCGGTCTGACTTTGCCCTTGTCGCCCATCTGCGTGTGTTGTATGAGGGCATTGGGAGAAAATGGAAAGCATCATTACCAGTGGAAGCTGGCTTTACTGCAGCGAAATACACTCAACAGAAATGTCAGCGTGTCCCCGAGGCAGACGCCACTATCCATGAACACATGAGGCAGCAATAGTTAACTGCAAATAAGCTCACGTACTTGAGACGTAGAAGTATCCCAGACCAGATGAAATGTATATTATATTTATTTACAATCGATATGCTGGGGATTAAAACAATATTTTCCGTCACACAGAACAACAGTTGCCTCATATGTAAATAGTGCTCATATTCACAGTATCAGAATATTAATCTTTTCCTCAGCCCTGCATCTCTAATAACTTTCCGTCGCCAAGAGACCTGAGGGAATGGGCCCTCAGTAACATGATTGATCATCACTATGTTTGTAGATGAAAATTAAGCTGTCAAATAATATTCCTGCCCCCCCAAAAGAAGCATGTTAATGGTGTTTTTTCGCCCCCACGAGTTGGATGCGGGTTGATTTGTTGCATCTGATAAAATTAGAGAGGAGACAGAGTTCGGCTGTCATCTGCTCCAACAACAGAAACAACTTAATCAGCGGCAGCATGAGGGCAGGAATTTACTCAGATGGAGGTCACGATTCTTCATTTCCGTTAGTGGCAGCCGCTTCTCTCTGGCAGGTAATTGAGGACAAGACTGGATCTGGAGTCAGTCGGGAGGCAACACACATCCGTGTTTCTTTTAAAGTTCAACCCAAAGCAGCGCACGGGGGGAGAAAAACCCTGAACAGAGGAATGCGTTAAAGGTAAAATAAACTGTACATGCAGAGCATGCTGTAATGATGACCACAAGCAAGCAGTTCTGTGCCGGAGCAGTGAGTGAGTGCCGGCTCGGAGGCCTCTGCCTCTGTGACAGACAGAGGGGATAAGCGGATAATTGGAGCACTTCTCGGGTCAGAATTCACAGTGCGTTCATGGTTTAAGAGAAAACCCATCTCGCAGGGATGCTGACGCAAGCAGCTTGGTCCAATATGGACACAATCCGCAATCTCGTATTTGAGTGAATTTCATCTGAAAAGGGCAAAAATCCAATATCAGTGGCAGCTCACAGCAAGGGATGAGTGAGCCGCGTTATGGCGTCTTTAGGCGTGTGAGATGTGTGGCAAATAGGAAACCACTGTGTGTGTGATCTTGCAGCGGCAGATCGTCGGACGAACAGATGTCCTTTTTCCTGCCGCCTGACTTGTTTTCCTACACGGGGATGCTGCCGCTTCTCAAGGAAAACACAATCAATAACACTTGGATGGAGTTATTTCATACATGTTTCTGGGTTTCACACTGCGAGAAACACCTTTGGAGAACGAACACTTGTTAGATGGCCGACGAGAGCGAGGGGCGAGCAATAATATTACCCATTTTTTGTATTTTAATAAGGCTTCATTCACTCCGTGGACGCCCTTAATCCAAGCAAAATGCAAAACACGAACAAGATGGATCATAAATACCAAGCAAGAAAGCTTTTTGACATTTATAAGGCTTTCTTACATAATCTAACAAGGTATTCTTTCAATCATACCGGACTCTTACATGCACACACAATTCTGACGCAGATTCTCGGAGACATGGGCTGTAGCTGGCGCGTGATTGATCATAAATATGAGATATGCTCCTTCAATCTGCTCCCGAGAGGTGAATAGAGTAGAGCTCGAAGAGCAGCAGCAGCAAGAAAATAGCATTAGTAGACTAGTGAAACTGAGGCGGTGGGGGTCGTGTACAGTCTGTATTTTGGTAGAGCTACAGGAGGTCTGCTAATAATGACAAGGAGCCGACGCTGTTCCATTTGTGGTCCAGGGAGGGAACATGCAACATCCACAACATTATAACTCAGTCCTTTCATTCATTCACGCGAAAAATCAACCCCGTCATCGCAATTCAGCAACGACCCGGTAACGCGGAGTAATGTGAGACAAAGACACACAGACACTCGCATGGATGCACACGCGCCCGTATAAAAATATCCACCCGTGCATGAACGGACATGCATAAAAGCCACACGGATGGAAGATGGCTGGAATGCATTGATGTAGTCCTGTCCAATGGATAGACATTCCATCACCTCGCGCTCTCAACGGTCACTGCATTATTCCCCGTCTCCTCTTTAAGTCCGATCCCACGCGTTGGAATGCACGACAGTACTAACTAACCCTCCCTGTGTCTCTTGCACCAGACCGGCGTTTATATTGCACACTACAGACTGTACAAAAAATTACAAATAATAAAAAAAGTGCTTCATTACAGCGCACGTTGATGCGTGATTTGTTGGTTGAGTATTAAAATGATAGGAAACATGTGCAGTGCCTTAACCGTATCTAGATTTTCGGTTGATACCAATGAGAGCAGTAAGTAAATGCTAAACCTGCAGAATTCAAGCTTGTCTGGTGAACAGCTTGGTCGTAGCACACTCATTGGAGCTTTAAGCAATACTGGAAACAGTTAACCAGCGAGCTATCCCATTGGTTGGAGCCGGTTATTAATACAGAGTTGGGTCACACCACACCTGCTGATAGCCCCGACAAAGCCAGGCGAGCGAGCGACGTCTCTAATCAAGTGATTTTGAGTTTGACCGCACATAAAGTAGTCATCAGCGTCTGCAGGGGAACAGCGAGGCCGTGAAAAGCCGCCAGAGATCAGAGGAGCAGCAGGGCGGGCGAGGGCTGTGATTCACAGGGCACACGGTTCCTGTCAGCGAAATGTTATTCAGGCTCCTACCGGCCGTCTTCAGGAGCAGAATATGATTCACTACAACAAAGTCAAGGACATTTTATCCTTGGACATTTATTATTAACCCGCTGCATTGGTCATTATTTTTAATTGGTTATTATTCATTTATTCAGTCTTTTTCATTCGCTTTTTATTACAATACCCACATTTAAGATTCAAAGATTCACAGATTTTTATTGTCAGTTACACACACGTATGTGTGGTACACACGCACAGGTTTGCTCATTTATTGATTATTTATGACACATTATTATGTACGGTGATTTACTATTGTGTGCTTGCTTAAAAAGCTAAACTCCCCTTAGATTAATACATCTTCAAGTTTATTGTAATGTGAGTGAGTGGGTTAATGAGCTGATGAAATTCAAGGGGTTTTCAGACTTTCTAGGCGCTTTTGATTTTCTTCGAAGATGGAGCAATTTGTTAAATTGTCATTATGGGATTTATCCCAAAACGACGGCGCTTGATCTAAATTGACAAAATAGTGAAGAGCAAATAATTGTATCCCCACAAATCCTTGCAATAGTGCAAAGGAACTAGCTCAGGTGTTTAATTATCCATTTCAACTCACTTCTACCTCTCGACTCACATGCCCCCTCCCCTTGTCTCCCCACTGCCTGTGACTTCGTCCGCTCGCAGCATGCGGCATGAGGAACGACGTCGCTTCACTTTTGGAGGCGGTTGAAGGATGCGATGGAAAAACAAAAAGGCCAGCTATCCCCGGGGGCGGTGGGAGGGGGGGGCACCTCGCCTGCCTGAATCCGGGTCCCCGTCTTTCACCGCTCCTCTCATTCCCTCCTATTGTGCGCTCGCTGTAGTAGCATCTGGTTAATGGGCTTCTTCAGTGGGGAGTCTCCTCCATCCTCGTACGCGCACACATTCTGTGTTTGCACTCGTAGCCTGCAGTACCGTTTGTGTAGCATAGCGCTGGTAGTTTTGAATAATTTTATCATGTAGTCCACCAGTACGCTGCTTTTTAACCGATGGAAAGTGCAAATTTTGTGAAGGACACTCAGTAAGGTTGAGTGTTTCTGCAAAACATTTCATTTCATGTGTGTTTGTTCTGTACTGCCGGCTAATGATTCCATACCCTGAGACGTTAGTGAATCCCAGCACTGATTTCTGTAGGAGGAAATGTATTCTGGCTGCAGACTGTCTGATTACCTGGATGGAGATGTTGGTAGAAGATGCTACAAAGGGTCTGGAGAGAAATGCTGCGTGTGTTCCTGTGTTGTTGTTGTTGCGCGATGTGTGTCCTCTCTCTTGGATACCGGTTTATATAAACTCCATAAACCACACAAGTGATCTTGGCAATTCAAAGACAAAGCCAGCATCCTTTTTTACTAGGAAGGCTGAGCGCTGGACGCAGCATTAAAGTGCATTCTTTTTTAACCCGCCCATCCTCCTTACAAATAAGCAGGGATCAAAGGATTAGTGCACCATTATTAAAGCCAGCTTGAGACCAACTACAGGCATGCTAACACGATGCTATTAATGGTACATGTCCACAGGACGGAACACAAGTCTGTGCCAGGCTCGGCTTCTTGTTGCCACCGCATGTTTAGGCTGCAGTAGTCGTCTCAATGGATTATCTACTGATCTTCTAATGGACCTCAGCAACCATCCGAAACACAGTTATTGCATCTGCCGTTGTGGTCTGGTCTGTGCGATGGTTCCTTCACTGCGAGAAAATCCCAGATGACACCTGAGTTGAAGGAAATAACAAACAAAACCCCCACCAGCGGATTGATTGGCGATGCGGTATTCTCAGCCATTACGGCGCCTGAATGAGGGATAAGAAATCAATATCCGACCGTGATATCAACCAGTGTATTTTTGACTCTCCATCGCTGTGGACACATGGTTGCGTGTGTCACGTCTGGAATGAGCTGCTGTTGAGTCTTTCATTGAAAGGTGGTGGAAATGTGTTTTCCAGATAGCATTACACTTGCCATGAAGCTTGGCCTGTGCCGTGATTGAAACAATGCGTCGTCTAAGCCGCACTGAGCCCACCTGTTTGTTCTTCCGTAATTTGATTCTGCTTCATTCCATTTGCCTTAACGCTGATGCATAATGCAGTGCTCTGAGGGGACCAGCCTTTGCTACCCGGGGGGGGAGGCTGGGAGGAGTAACCCAACCTCGCCCGCCCGCCCTCCCGTCTCTGGGACTTCTTTTCAGGGCCACTGTCCTTGGCTCTGATCGGGGACCAGAACAGCAGGCGTTGATGTTAAAGCCGAACAGGAACAATAAGCTGGACCTCGGCAGCGCGTTAAGTCCAAAATAAACAGAAGCTGGCGAGTATGCTTTGGTGGTGGAATCCTCATCAGGTACGAAGCGACGCTACCAAAAAAATGGCAGGAGGGCGGCAAAGCGAAAAACCTTATCGCAATTGTCCTAAACCGTTTTTTAAAACAGAATTAACTGCTCAGGGAAGGCACAGAAACAACAAACTAGCGCGTAACTACGGAACACAAACATTGGTGAAGGCCTCTTTGACTACGGCAACCACGATATCTGTCCCATCGTTCACCTTGTGTCCAGGACTCGTCTGGAGTAGGACGTGGACAGAGCGTCACGGGCAAATCTTTAAACATCATAACAGCTTCACTGACTGTCATCGTGACAGAGACTCCCACTCGCGTTTTTGCCATTTTCATCGGGCCGTGCTTCACAATCAGCTGCCTGTGCTAAGTGGCTGGTGTCGATGGCTGTGCCTCAGCTCTGCCCACAACGCTGATGGAGATAAGACATCTGGCGACGTTTGTGCGTGCGTGCGCGTGCGTGTGCGTGCGTGCTTGGCCACACACAGTATTTGCACGCATTGAATATGGGAGCATCAATGATTATGTTGGAGAAGAAGTGTGTAGCAGCAAGAGTGACATAAACGGTGTGGGTACTGGTACATAACTGAGTGGGTCAGGGTTCATTAGCGTGTCATCGGCTGCCTCCACACCAAAATAATAAGCTCTCTCTCGCCCTCGCTCCCTCTCTCTCTCTCTCTCTCACACTTTTTTCACCGGGCTTTGAAAAAGGCCGTATGATGATGAAGTCGCCCCTCGCTCACACGGACACATGCATACGAAACAGCTGATGGAGCTAACGACATTAAAGTTGTAACTGCGGGGTTGAGAGGGATTCAAGGAGGAAAAACTGGCACCTGGAACGAAGGGTTAGCGCAAGGAAAAGGAAAAGATCTCCATTTCTTCTGACCCTTTTTCCATAGTTAGATGTCAATAAGTCCCTTGACAAACACGTCCCCCGAATACCAGAGACAACTCACTACTTTTTTCACTGCGTTCGCATGAAATAGAAGCTGAAACATCGACTGCAGCAATTTGCGTTTTTTAACGTACAAATTGCAATTATTGCAGCCCGGGCAAAATTAGGATGTTAAACACTGTTATTTAAGAGGACACGGAGCAACTCTTCCACACAATTATTACAATCTGTACTCTGTGTGCGTATCTGCACACGTCAGTCGCGCTTTAAAACCCCCCCAAAAAACGATGAAGGCAAGTCAGTTGAGCTTTGATGAATGGATAGGGCCCTGCTGACAGACGAGAAGAGAGGGTGACACAGCTGGGAGAGAGGGAAGGGAAGGGAGGGGTTAGGTAAAGGTTCACCAGAGAGGAGTTGACAGATTCCAAATGGTCGCCTTTGGAAATGCTCGGCTTCATTGCATCAGCTGTGGAACGCTTCACAGAAGACATAAAACGATGCCTGAAAGATATCTTAACGGACAGCGTGGTCTCTCTGGAGCCGGGGGGGATTAGGAGAAATAAGACAACTACTTGGCTGTAGTATTATTATATCACAATAGGAGTTCCTGACCAAAGAAAACAGTGTATATTTTTGACCTGCTGTACTTTCCCATGTATTGATGGACGCCTGCATCCCCCCCTCCTCCGCGCTCCAACTGACACGTGTTTGACCCCTATCCTCGTCTACAGGAGAAAGCACCTGGTGCCTCACCACAACACCATTAGTGGTCAACCACACACACACACACACACACACACTCACTCACTCACTCTCGCCCACGCTCCCCACATGAGGTATTTTTAGGGGATGTGATGCAACCGCTACGATAGCCAGCGCTCAGAGATTCACACCCCATGGGCTTGACAGGAAGGGATCCATTTCCTGACGGAAACCGCAAACCATCCGCGCACGCAGCAAATACATCGTCGGTGTGTGAACTCTGTGTCCCTCGGAGAGCGTTGAGGTTTTTAGAGAGGGAAATGCACGAATGCAGACACATGAAATATTCGCGAAACATTACTGTTGTTTTTTGTTTTTTTTATTAACTTCTGAGGATGACAATTCCTTGATCTTTGTTAAGCTGCTGCCAGTTGTAACATCTAAAATGCTACAATTAGACTTAGCAAAGCACTCCACTTTCCCCAGAGACCTTTTCCAAGCACATCTGTAAATACTTTGGGGCTGTAATTTTACAAGAACCATGACTAACGCGACGAAATCCACTTAAGAATCAACATTCTTCCGAATAAAGTACGACACTTTCAACTGGCTGTATGTGAAAAAATATTTATTTAGAAAATTGTATTCATATACACCTTTTATTTGAAGGTAAAATACATTCACATGTGTGCGACTACATGTAGTGTTATAATAACGCCCTCTTAAATATGGTCTTTGATTTTTTTTTTTTTCAGCCTCCACCATCGCTGAGAACGGGAGGAAAACATGCCTGAAGCTCAAAGTTTTCGTCCGACCATCAAGTAAGTGTTTGCACGCAGCAAAAGGCTTTGTAATAGAGCTGGTTGAAGTACACATTTGGATTGAAAAGCCAAACAGTTTATGTCTACCTCTCTGGTTACCTCACTTCCTCCTCGATTACCTTCTGCTCGCTGTCCAACATGCCCCTCTCATTAATCACAAAAAAACGACTTTACTGGCGAAGAATGTTTTTGTTTTTTTTCTCCCGGAAAACATGACAAGGGTGAAAGGTGATCACATCTAATGAAATCCAGGTCACGTCATACTTCATCTGAATGTTGCCATGAGCTTCGTTGCTTGGGATGTTAGATGTTTGATAGAAAGTGAGGGAGGGGGAGCAGGACGGGAGGGGGGGGGGGGGTGGTTCAAATGTCACTAACCTATTTGGCATAAACCTCTAATGATCTCTCATTCTCCCTATTTTCTGTTATAGACAGCTGTGTGAAAACTATAGGCGTACATGACCGTGTTTTTGATGTAAACGACAAAGTAGACAATACATTAGAACCACGAGGTTAGTATGGCTTCCTGCTTATTTGACTCTCTTCAGTGTGACCATCCTACATCTGTACATGTGCCTTCTGTCTCTGTGCCTGTTTCCTTTGATGCCGTTTGTCTGGCAGCTCAACTCTGCTTCCACATCTCTGCCTGATGCTTCTCTGCCACTGACTCTTCTCCAGATGTTGTGTCATGCCACCTTTGCTTGCATATTAAAGTGATGGACTGTATTGCATGTCGATTATATATATATATATATATATATATGTCTCAGAGATGTGCATGTGTTGCATTCACACACCTTTTTACTGCCAGACGCATGTCGGGGTCCATAGCATTTTTATTTTTTTTACTAGAATCATTCTGCGCCAATACATGAGTCACCATTGCTCATTAAACCACATGTAAGAAAAAGGGCATTTTTTTCTCTTTTTCACCACCTTGAGTTTGATTATTTTCTGTGAGCATTTATACGTCTTCATACACGGGATCTAACCCCCGTCGCTGCATTGAAGATATGCACCTCGAACATATGCCGAATCCCTAAGACCAACATGTCAAATACAGGCCAGATCAAAAAGATTTTTAGAGATATTATTCATTGGGAAAGTTTGCACAACGTTTTGGAATTGCTAACCGCAAAGATCTCTTTAAGAATTTATCGCAGGCTGACATTTAAATTGGACCCTTGCTCCCAAGGCCAGATCTGCCCATCTGCCTCTCCTCCTGCCGGACCTTCTATCTGCCTGTTGTCCTGCTTCGCTGTCCTGTCTGCTTGTTTGATGGCTGCCACTCACCTTGCATGCTTCCTCTGGCTCGCTCACCTTATTACACTCTCCAAAGGAGGAAAATGAATACATTCATCCGTCATCTACTGCTGCCATGTTCCTCCGGGCCATACCAGAAATAACACACACACACACACACACACACACACGCACATATAGACTTTTATAGTTATGTAACTGGCGAGCCCTCTGTGCTGTCAGCTGTTCTTTGCTGTTCATGGTTCAGCTACTTCCCCACGATGCTGAGGGCTCACTGCCCATCACATAATCTGATGCCACACAGCAGACACTTCGCCTGGGAGTTGAATTAAAAACGTTCCACACAAGATTTTAAGCATGACATAGCAACTCAAGTTCATATGGCAACTCAGGCCTCACCTTTCCCGCTCTCTGAACTCAACAGACATGACCTCAAACATCTCAGTAGTGCACGGACGTCCCCGCTATCGCTGTTCATTTTGAAATATAACTCACGTCCTTGTACGACGCAACGTGATTTTAAAATGAATTGCACGCTGCCTCCTTTTGTCTGCTGCCACACGGCAGTTTGTACCACCAGTAACAATTCCGGGCTTCTATTTCTTTATCCTCTAGACGACACCAGCCATGAACCGGCTGAGCCTTCCCGAAGCGACGAAACGAACGCTGCGCCGCACCTGCAGAACACAAGCCCAGTCCTGGCCCTGTTGCTGCTCTGCCTATCAGCGCTCTTCACTTCATAGCGCCTTCCTCTGTCCCGGGGGGGCGTTTACACCTAGCGTGGCCTGAAGCTGCCCACGGCTGCAGGGGGGGTGGCGGGATTTGCGTGGAGCGCGTTGGCTCTTCACGCATCAAAGCAGGCTTCTCAAGGAACCCTCTATTTTTTTCAGAAATATATTTAAGTGGTCTTTCTCCGTCTGTGAGTGATTAAAAAGTTGAGGTTGCAGGTGGGAAAGACAGTTTCCCCCTCTTAAACTTTCAACTAAGATGCCAAATCCCCTTTTTTCGACACGCGATTCTTATTTTCCGGTGACTTTTGACATCCCTTTATGTCCTGTTTTATGTAACTACATGTTTACCCACAAACACAAATACACAGCAAACACACCGACACAATAACGACAGCAGTAGGGTTGTACAGTAGCAGCAGTAGAAGCGTGAAGGTGCTGGTTCTTAGAAAGAACTGTACATACACAAATAGATGAGACCTCTCAAGAAGCCTTTTGGAAAAATACATTGATACAAGTTCTGCTTGTTCAAAGGAAGCAGATCAGGCCTCCATTTCACAGGGAACGGCAGCTCGAAAGATGAAGATGTGAGAAGAGAAAATGATGGTTTCAAGCAGGTCGGACCGCAAACCACAGCGCTGAGAATAACATACGCGGCATGCACCTTAGCGTCAGGCGGTCCTGGTTTACGGATCGCACCCCATTTCCTCCTTCCTGAAGACTAAATGTGTGCTGCGGCTGCAGCGTTTTGTTGCCCTGCCGTGTGAAGAGCGCGACAGTCAGCTCAATAAAACACCTCTCGCACGCGTTCGCTCCACCGTGACTCGCAAAACAGCTAAATTGAAACTTTCTCGCCAGACAATTTGCAGACTGTTATTAAGATCGAGGATCAATATGTTTGGAAAGTTGATCACACAATTTCACGGCAACAGTCACAGTTATTTTACGCAATGTTTACCTAGCAGGGCTGCAATTGTTCTCTCCGCTCTATTTGACTATTAGTCGATATAACACTCACATAGACATTTGTATTCACAGCTCTCTTTTCAGTGGTATTGATTGTTTGAGTGATTGTTTAAAAAATAATTTGCAGATCAATTTGAGACTTTATTCTTTGTTAACTTTTAAGTTATTTTAAGTTTTTGCCAATTGTGTTTCTAAAAGAATGTCTTTGACTTTCATCTTTTCTTTGTTAGTACCTTCTGAAATCAACTTAAACAGATCACATGGGGGAAGTGACACTTTAAATCCCGTCTCACTTAAACCACAACCATGAAAACTCAAACATTAGTTATCACATTCAGTCGGTTCCAGCAGTTAGTGCAGCGTTCACAGGAATAACGCATATCATCAAGTGTAAATGACACGAATGGCGAAACCAACCATTTAATTCCAGGCAATGCAAAGCTCTGTTTAGTCCAGTCCGGTTTATGTCAGCACTTACACGAATAAAGGATTTCACTATTTTTTAACGATGTTCAGCATCCTTCAGCCCCCACAGATGCACAGGGCGAGTTAGCATAATAAAGGCTGCTTGGTCGCTTTTCAAACAACAGGGACTTATTTTCAAAGACATACGGATTGACGGAGAGAGGAACCCTCCTTTTGGAGACGGGGCTTCTGCATCAGCAATGTGCCCCAGCTGGTTTTGAAAAAAGACAGATTGAAACAGCGAAATAGAGCAACAAAAGGAGCACAAGAGCAATTGCATGTCCACTGTTGGCTCCTCGAGTTACAGGTTTAAGTGACTCTTTAATGAGGTTCCAAATGACAGGCATGTGGACCCCATGTTGTGGCAAGGGAGTTATTCCTGGTATTAAAAATAGATGGCAGAAGGCTTGGGGGGTCTCAGGAGGGGAGGGAAGGGGGAGGGTTAAAGAACCTATGACCTTGCAGTTTGAGAGAATTAGTTTGCGACGGAGACAGAGAAGATGAAGCGATGGACGTACAGAGAGACGGGAAGACATGAGAGGGAGCCGAAGACAGTGTGACTAGAGTGCCTAACAAAACAAAAAGAATCCACGCACACTACTGACAAACCCCCACCAGATTCAATGACCTGTTATTGTTCAGTATCGTTCTCTCAAACGGCATGCACTGTTTTGTTCTGGCTATATTTTCATTTTTGTGGCTGCCTTTTTTCTTTTTTCTTTTTGTTTTCTCTTTCTCGGCCCGGTTCAATCTTTTTTCGCGCCACAGTAACAACGCCATTACGGCTCGGCTGTGGGGGGTAACAGGAGCCGAGGCCGTTTAATGAGGTAATAATTTTCTGGAGAACACCACAGGGAATGAGCATCGAATAAGATTCAGAATCGACAGCAGATTAACACTAGTCTTTTATCAGATACCAGCTTCAATTGTACTCTCTTATACCAATACTACTATTCGTCATTATTGCTATACTTACCACGGTTTATTCTGTACACGCTTTGACCTGGGGAATGAGGATCAACTTAAGAACTGGATACCGTGTATCCTGAGGTAGTCAACCATAGAGGAAGTAGTCGTAGGTTAGTATCTGTTTTGTACCTTTCTGAAGGACAAAAGAAAGAAAAAAAAAAAAAGATAATTGTTAAAACTGTATAATTATTATTATTGTTATGATGATGATGATTATGACTATTATTATTAGGACAACTTCTTGATGTAAATAGTGTTTGATATTAAAGTATTAATTTGGTTCATATGTCTTTTCTAAAAAAACAAACCAATTAAACGGTATTGTCTCTGGTTTCTCCGGAGTGCGTACTTCTCCTCAAACAATGCATTGTGTGCTTTGATCCTCAATGCCTAAGGAAACCTGTGGGAGCTGTACACAAGTGTACAGAAGGATGAACATTGGCCAAATGAGTGGCTCACCTGTTACATGTTTCAAACCAGTCACCAACTTCACATCTCTTCATAAGGATCCTACCTGGAAAGAAACACTTTTGGACTTAACGGACGGCTTCTTTGTGCTATTTGGCCTTCAGCGTTCGAAAGCATGTCGGCTTTTAAGATCTGCCATAAGCAGACTGTTTGCTTTTTAATGCAAGGATCTTGCCAGCTTCATTATGTGGCATGCGCATGAACTTGATGACATGTATAAAAAAAAAAAGAAGAAAAAAATCAAAAAAATGTTTTCTTTTGCTCTTGTTTTCTTTTCCTTTAAGTCGTGTTAGATTTTCAGGTCACTTTCATCCTGTGTGTGTTTCTGCATCCCCATTTGAGTGATGTCATTAAAGCTGTGTAGTGACAGATGACAAATGTACATAACACGAACCGTGGTTGTGGAGTGACAGTAGGGAGTCGGTCATTTTGTAGTTCAAAAGCAACTTTTCTTTCTATGACTCTTTCTGTACCTAATCAGCTGATTTCATCCCACGTCGTCGCAGTCTGAACTATTCATAACCTGTCGGCTCTCCCAAAAGGAGGAGTTTTGTGAGGTTGTACACATCAGTGTGTGGACGTTTTTCAGTGTGAAAACCTTTTATGTATGTGTGTGTGTGTGTGTGTGTGTGTGTGTGTGCGTGCGCGTGCGTGTCTCATTTGCTGTTGCCGCAGTGAATGGGAAGCGGCAACCCCTCTTTGGCAACGAAGAGTGTTTCCCATGCCTTAGCCCTCCAGCCTCGGCCCCGGCAGCCCCGTCTGTGTACGAGACGCTTTCTGCCATTGTGCTTTTTACACGGGACGGCTGCTGGCGTCCAAGAGCCACAACGGGGCCCTTCACTTTACTCTCCCTTTTAACAGCCCTGAATCACTCGTCCCCCCCCCCTCACCACGGTAGACGTTGGTCCTGGTTACAGTTGAAGGATTAGTGCGTCTCCATCTACCAAATCCTAAACTGGATTGTTAGGTGAAGCTTCTCACCCATCCAGGTTCCGCGCATACAGAGCAGAGCCTCTCTTTTTGACAGCTCCCACCACCCCCACCACCCCCCCCTTGCCGATGAGCCACCCGTTCATTTTGTGCGTCCCGTCCCGTCTCATTCCCCTTGTGCTTGCGTAACCTCCACCGCACCACCTGCTGTCCTCCTTCCCTCACCTTTGAAAAGCCCGCTCCCACTTTGCCATCAGAGGGGAGTATTTCCAACGTGCTCTTTTACAGTATATAAACAACAAAATAATTGACAAAAAATGATCTGTATTTGTATATACACGTGTCTGAACTATGAGTAATACAATAAAACAGAAATACCTTGCTTTAATTGTCTTGCTGCTCTTTTTGTAGGATAACATGAAGTACAACTAGCATGAAACATGATCTATGTTGCTTTTCTAATTAGAAGCACTGACAATTTAGACAGGGCTTCTTATTACGATGAGGGTGATTAGGTATGTATACGGCAAACTGTCCTGCACCTCTTACTCAGGCAGAATTGTGTTTCATCATGTGCCAAATTGAGTGCACAAACACACACGCTCTCACCCCTCTATGTATATGATTCCCCATCAGGGCCTTCACATAGCTGGAATCACAGCCTCTAAAGACCGACCGAGAGGGAAACCATCCATCAGGATCAGAATAAGACCTTAAACCTCCTTTCACTTCACTTGGACACTAATGAGGACACCTAATAACCTTCTGCTGGACCCTATCAGCGCCATTTAGCTTCACCCTCCATTATCTCTGGTAATTAGACTGAGTGCCAGCAAGCCCTGGGGAGCAAATGGGTGAGGGAAGGCCTCCCCGGGAGCCAATTGGAACGATGTTATGATGATTGGTAAAACTGACTGAAGAGAATACAGACAATACTCAATACGGAAGGTGCATATGAATAGACGGATCTGAAGGAGGATTTGATACATATGCAGGAGCTTGTAATCTTGGGGCACAGATGTGGATTTTTAGCAGCCTGGAAAAAGAAGAAAGAAAAAAAACCGAGTTGAGGCAGAATTCATAAAATCTCACCTAGGATGCAAATCCTCTCCAATCACACCCCATTCCAAAAGCTGGTACTTTTTTACGCCTCAGATGAAGAAAAGCTCTTTTCATGAACACACTTGACATGATGAGCCAATTAGTGTCAAGTGGTTCTTCCTGGTGTTATTACCAAAGGACGGCTCTGGAGATGCAGGTGTGTGTGTGCGCCTATGAAGACCAATAAAGACAAATCACTGCAGCTCATCATTAAACATGAGGTAATGATATCTTTGTGTGAGCGTGTGTCCCAGATGTGCTATTACGTTATGATCACGGTCGAGCTGTGTGACCCGCCAGTGAGCGTGAGGACGGCACCGGGATGAGATGGCAACGCGAATGTTCTCCGACTTAACTGGGCCTTTGATTCTATTTCTCTTTCTGCCAGCGTAGCTCCTCCGATGGAAGAAGTTTTATCTGTGCGCATTAACAACGCAACCGCCGATCCCGAAGAGGCCACTTCAGTGAAGGGCTTTTGAAGACATCATTCTCAAGTCAGCTGGCTCCCTTATTGGATGCACGGTGTTTCGTTTCCATGTGAACAATCAGTTTGACTGACGGCTGTGAGTGATGTCTTCAGTTAATCGCTCCAGTGGTGTGAAAAGGTCATAAATCACCCAATTATGTTGCCCCGCTTTATGAATAGATATTTTTGGGGGAATATTTAAAATGCCTCCGAGGCATATCAACTTAGTCAACCCCATATTTATTGAGAGGGATTTTGGGGGCGGCTGCTTGTGCCAGAAATAACTGATAAGCTGAATACATTTTCAGAGTCTCAATCACTGGAATGTCACAGTGTTACTTGGTTTGAAAGTTGTGACTGCACTCAAGGTCGGGATTTGTGATTTATGACCGTTTTTACATGTTTTCATGTACAGAGAGAAAATAAAAATAATTATCCAGGGAAGTCAGAATAAAATAGAAATTGCTGGAAGAACACTTTTAAAAAAATAAAAAGCCATAAACACATTGTTTTACAGCAGATGTATTTATTTAAAACACAAAGCCTCTGTTGAAGCAGGCAGAATGCAAATTTCCACTGCTGTGTTTGATCAATATCCATCAAAATAAAATGTCTGTGGTACATTTATTGCACTTGTGGATGTGCAACCTGCAGCAGGCAAAATGAACCAACCCTTGAAAGATTCTGTAGATACTAGAAAGCAACACCCTGTAAAAGATAAGGTGAAGCATTTTAGTTGCATATATGTTTGCGGAAATATATTGTAGGTTTCTAAGATGTTTTGTTTGTGCGAGTGTTCTCATTCCATCATCAAGCCCAGCATGTCTCTCGCTACAAATCCCGAGGTAGGTTGCCGTCAGCTGCGGTGGAGGTTAATGCATTGTGTTTCATACCGGTCATTTTCTTTTACTGATGCCTCTCACATGTTGACCTTCAGGGCTGAGAGATAAGGCGCTGCAGCCAATCCAGAGGAGGATTACAGGAACACGTAGCACCAATACCAAATGATCAGTTTGAAGGGACATCAGACAGAGTTTGGAAAAAGGCGACGATGAAAATGATGAACTGTGACTGAGGATCACTTGCAATTGTGTCTGTATATAACTATATATAACGTAAAAAAGGTCCACGTAGGATTTGAACTACAACAGGATGGTTAGTTATCAGTTTTGTGTCCAAGCAGTCGAGTGCTACGAAGAGCTCTGAGGATGGCAGGTTTCCACACAGGTGTTTCAGTGAGTATTCACAAGACGAGGAGGTTTCCCCATGACGGCGACTTTCACAATGTGACCCGATGGGTCACCGCAAAACAAAACCAGCAGCCTGCTGAAAGCACGAGAAGCAGGTGGCATGTTTTTCTTACAAAGAAAAATCAGGTACCAGTCAGAATTGCATCCTGCATCCTCACATAATGGAGAAGTCGTATCCGAGGCACAGCGATTTAGCAGCTTTGCCAGAGGGGAGAGGGCCGTCGTCGTCTCCTGAGCGGCTCGTTCTA